AATAGAACGTTTCGACAACCAACACTGCACCACCCAAACGTGGATGCCGCGATCCGCGGCGCATGTGCGTCATCGCTCGTGCACGCGAAATTTTAACAATACCGTCGGATCCATAATATTATTATAATACCGAAATCGTTTCCCAGGTTGACGTCGGACAAATATTTATAGATAGCTTTTCGCGATGAGAAATATTTTATCTTTTTTCTTGTTCTTCCGAATAAACGTACGAGTAGAAAAAAAAACAAAAACTTCCTTCAACTGTGACAAAATTTATTCGATTCCCATCAATTCCGCATGAATGCGCAGTATTTTACGGTTGATCAATACTAGTAGCGTTAATTTATGCATATACGTATAATTATATCGTGTGTCACATGCAGTGGTATCTAAACGCTTACCTCATCAACACAGTTCCGAATAGCAACGAACTGTCTCGGATTGTTTTCACATAATACATGTTCGTTAAAGTGTGCGTGCACACGTAATATACGCACACGAAGTATAGATAACAAGTTAATGACTTCTCCGCGACGTTAAACGTGGACGAAAACTGCAGCATCAACAATCCATTCCGTACGCAATAATAAACGTAAGCGTTATACGCGTGTTTGCGTAAAGTGCAAAAACCAAACCGTTCACACACCGACGACGGTAAGTCGAATAACAAGATACTCCATTATATCCGAGTCAAAAGAAGCCTAATGATTTCTTAATAAATACGTAATTTATAAATGAGAAGAAATTCAAAAATAAATAAATTATTAATTATACCAGTTTTTGGTAGAAAAAAAGTCGTAATATGTACGTCTTACGTAGAATTTTTTTGAAATTTTTATTTTCCAAGGAATTTATTTTGCGAAAAAAATACTTTCATCAAAATAAAATCTATCCACTCTATCACTCTATCCACGGAAAATTCAAAGTTTTAATCGAAACATCTTCTACGTCAAATATGCATCAATTGCAGTTGATATCTTAGTAATTGTACCGCTAATTGTATTCTGTATATAAATATCAAAGAGTAAATATATAACGAAAAAGTAAGAATATTTAATTTATTAGCCTATAATATACTACTGACGTATTTTAAAGTACATATATTTACTGTATGTATATGCAGGCTCGTATTTAGGGGGGGGGCACGAATAGGCACATGCCCGGGGGCGTCAAACTCAGAAGCAGCAAAATATTTTAGCAAAATTTTAAATTTTAAAAATTTAAAAATGATATACCAAATGAAAAAAAAATAAGACAATAAAAAAAAAGAAAGTAAAATGTTTTATTATATTATAATTTGTAAATTAAAAAAAAAATTGTATTTTTATTATACTATAATTTGTTAATTAAAAAAAGTATTAAACGATTTTCATTTATATGGTATATTTTAATATTAAAGAATCTCGATTATGGACGAAATAATAAGTGTTATATTATTATTATTTATTTGGGGGGGGGGGGGCATAAATTATATGCCCAGGGCGCCAAAATTTTAAATATGGGCCTGTGTATATGCCACAGCCTCTAAGGACAATAATATAATGTAGATCACATACCTGATTGCATCAAATGTGTACAATATATTATTTAGTAGGTAGGTAAATAAAAATAATATGAACACAAAAAAATTTAAAAAATAGGGGAATAAAACATAAAACGCGTTATTCGCATGTACTACACGCATTATTTTATATTTATTTACTAATCATAAACATGTATGTCCATTGTTCTATACGCACGTAATGTAATTACGTGAAAATTTAAGTAGAACATGTTAAAAAATTAAAAACAATACACATTATCATTTCTTTGAAAATTTAACGCAGATTATGGTATACTGTTAAATACAGATTATTCGGTGATTTAGAATATTACAAAATTTGGTAAACTCTCATCGAGAAATGTATAGTAAGAAACATATTTGTAAAATAACTTGTATATTTTTGAAAATATTGAAAGTAGTTTTACGCTATTATTACCTATGTAATGACAGTGCATTTAATGTTTATAATGTAATTTAAAAACAAAGTTCGGCATGAAAATAAGGTGTTCTGTAATTTTCTGTAATCAACCTGTAATTTGGCGTGCTTCCGTGGTGTAATGGAGTGTATTTACAGGTATGCACTACATACACTTTCCTATATATATTTTAAACACAGCGTATACCAAAATAAAGACACGATTCCATCACCCTCTTCTCTTCATAAATACAACATATTTTTTTAACATGCCCGCAAAATATTTTCCAACTGCATCTGTACATAGTGGATAGTAGTGTGTTCACGTGTTCATATTATTATATACTAAATATATTCATCTGAGATAGAAGCTAAAGTTACCCTTATAAAAATGCCACATATTACATGTTCGATATAATAGCACTTGATACAGGTATACGTATTTAAAGGTTTACATCATAATACATAATACGTAATACGTAAATTATAATATATAATTACAAAAACCAAAATACATTTCCATCGTTCTATGTATATTCTAACATAGAGTATTAATTATCCAATACAACCACGTATTTGATCATATACTAACATCTAAGTTACTACATAATATATATTACAGGATATAAATCCGTAATTTCTCATTGGGGATCATAAGTGAAAAAAAATATTACAAACATTTGAAAATTATATTAGTTATAGTCAATGACACCGAGCTCTAAAAAAAGTACTATTGTCAAATTTATTTTCAGAAGGTACCACCCACCAATAATGTCACTTGTCAATGTAATAATAAATAAATAATAGGTTACAATAGTTACATTGTAAAACTAATCTGTTGTTAAAAATGTGAAGGTTATTATTGTACAATTATAATATTACTGTATGATACTATCTACATTATATGAGCAGCCTCAAGGTCCTAATGACTATTTGGGGCTAAGCCCTTAGGACTACCCACCCCATTTAAGCTATTGTTTTAACAACACTTGTTAATGAGGTTCGGCGACACTGGTTATAGTGTCATGTCTTATTAAATAGGTATTTTAATATATATATATATATATATATTTATTTTAATAATAACAATACACATTACATTCAATGCAATAAGTTTTACAGAGATTATAATTTAGTTAAGAAAATTCGAGATGCTAACTTTTGACATATGTATCGATAGTATATCTGTGTACATAAATATCAATAGAATTGACCATTTAAAAATAGTTTATATACCACGTGTAAATCATAAATATACTAAAATTACAAACACTCGAAAAATCCCGTGCATCCAGTGACTAATACACGGAGTACACCAATCATGGTTCAACCCCGCGAGTGTTTTCAAAAAATCTCGGAAAGAAAGTCTGCCCTTCGTCATGAACAACAATTTATTTTTAGGATCCGAACATCTAGTTGTGTATTGTTGTCACGCCTGTTGAATAAGTATGATTTATTTGCAACCAGACAAATTATACTGACTACATACGTGTATGGATATATTATTATGCTGTACCCTACTGCACAGTAACACAAGCACCAGCAACTGCTGGAACAAAGTATCCATGTTGTGCACACATTAATCATAATTTAAGTATACATAGATATTAAACATAAATCGATTGTAGAGGAAGTTAAGTATTGAGATTAAGAAGCATGATCCGTTTTAGTGATGGCACGTTTTCTTAGCCAGTTAACAAAACTGGGTATGTGCGTTTTTACAAACAAATAATAACGAAAATTGAAAACATTGATGTTTATACGTGCGTTTTTAATATTTATAAATACACGGTGTAAATTTTTGTAGAAAAATGGGGTTAGGCCTATTCGGTACTCGTAACACTTTTTGGTAAAGACTCCAGTGTACCTATTATCCAAACATGGTACACGTACCATAGATGCTCAAGCTAGTAGTAATACACCGAAAAATGACGTTACGGTCAACACGATAATATCGGTAATTTTTTTCGACCCACGGCCTTCAAATTGTAGAGATAATTAGTTAGACGGGATAGATAGGCGACCCCAAAAATATTATAAGTACTCATATTTATTAGTTTTTATTATTTATTGCAATAAAAAAAACTCAAAGGTTCATAAATCATAAAAACTAAAAAAATATTTTGTTTACTTAGACAGCCCGATTTCGATAGTAAAAATAACATTGCAGGTAGGTAGAATTAGGTGCATGTTTCTAAATCACTGGACGAGGCTGCAAGAGTTTAAACCTCAAATCAAAATCGTGCGAATAAGGTTGTTATAGTGTTACAAAATAACAGATACGTTACGTTTTTATGAAGTGTACAAATAGTAGCGTAAATCCGCTTCAGATTGCAACGTTACATGATTTATTTTTACATTGTACAATGGTTGCACACGATCGCACAGTGGGCGACGAGAAAACCCGCTGCGATCCCGGGCCACCGGTCCCCGGAGGAAATCCTCTGAGGCCGTGACGGTCCGCGTGCCCGGAAAACTCCGGAGCAGCCGCGGCGGGGCCGAAAGTCGGAAGTCGCGACGGCTCGAGGACCAAGACGTCCTTCCCTCGCGCTTTGCCCGCCGACCCGACGACGATGGGCCGTGACGGGGAGAGCTCTGCGCGCACCAATGAGAACGAGCGGCGCGCACGAGGGGGCGCGACCAAACTCGTTCGGGTCGTCCCGCCTACCGGACGCGCCCGCCGCGGAGCGGACAGGCGCGCGCGCGCCCGCGCGCAACGTAGCAAACGGCCGCGACCGATTCAGTATTCGCGCGGCGACCGAGACGACCAGCGACCACGCGGACCGCAAGAAGTTTTACGCTCGCACGCACGCACACGGCCACGCACACCTCATCCGGGTCGCCGATTTTCCTCTGATCGTTTCCATCGTCCGCGTCGCGTTTCCGTCGTCGTCGTTGAACGGTAATCGCACCGTCGACACGTTAAACGGTTCCGGCCGGCCACCGCACCGAGCGACACGCGCGTATCGCTTCGACGCCCGATTGTCGCCGCGAGCCGACAGAGCGCCGCGCCGGACGCGTAGACGACGCGCGCGCGCGCGCCCGCGCGATGCCGCTGCGGCCGTGCGCCACGCGCGTTTGATCGTCCAGCGCCTGGACCGCGCGGTTTCGTCATGACGTCTTACCTGTCGCCGAGGGACATCGTGGGCGGTGGCGCGGGCAGCGTGAGCACGTCGCCCGGCAGTTGCACCGAAGCGCTCAGCGAGAACTCAACGTCGAGCGCGGCCATCGTGGCCGCCGCCGCCGCCGCCGCCGCAGCCGCCACCGCGGGTGGCTCCGTCACCGTGGCCGACTTCCTGCAGACCAAGCGCAACATGTCGTTCACCTCGGATCAGGTGACGTGCATGTGCGAGGCCCTCCAGCAGTCCGGCGACGTGGACAAGCTGGCCCGGTTCCTATGGTTTCTGCCGCCCAGCGAGCTGCTCCGAGGCCAGGAGACTGTGCTCCGGGCCAGGGCCCTGGTAGCCTTCCATCGGTAAGCACCGTAATAATAACTTTGTGCGTTGTTATCGTGTTGCACACACGCTGTCCACCACGCGTTCAGGTACCGCAGAACACCAGGATTCGTTACGGAAATTGTTTTGTGTACCGCGGTCGTAGTAAACGGGACAACGGGGGTGGGAGGGCACGATTAGCGGCTCGGGTATTGTGTACGGAATACGAAATCCCTACTTGCTTCGTTTCTGCATTCGAAGACCCTAGTGCGATTTATGGGCATAACAACACTATTTAATATCGACCGATAAAAAATACGAATATGCCATTTTCACAACATAATAATGTAGGTATTTCATGTATCTTTTTATCTCTACGCCGCCGTATCATCTCACCGTAACTGTCTTACAGTAAATATCTATTGCCTTTTCACATTTTTTATTTATTATTTCGACACATTCTTCCCGTCATTTAACGTGCAAAAAAAAAATAATAATATCACATCGAATAACAATAATCATGATTTATATAATACACTGTACAGCTCGAATGTTTATGCTTTATTACGTGTATCTTTTCGCGTAAATTCGATTCATGAGGTATAGATTTGTGAACAGTAAACCTAATTACATTTCACATTGTCTCTCAAGATATATTTCAAATACTCAGCTGTATGTATGTATATACATGGTTCTATCAAAATAAACAGGCATATTATTATTATTTTCAGTTTTGTCAACTTAAATGATTTAAAATACCGTTGATTCGTTCATTTTACTTGATCTTATGAAATACAATCTTCAAGTCTCGAACATTATAGAATCTTATACAAATTCTATATAAATGTATACACTGTAGATTTACATCAATATCGTTTTTGGTTATGTAGATATATTTTTTTGAACAGATTTGTTTTTTTACAAATCGCTTATTTTTTTTTTTTTTTTTTTTTTTTTTTTTTTTTTTAACTTTTTTTTTTTTTAACAAATTTTTTTTTTTTTTTTTTTTTTTTTTGAAGTAATTGTTTCACTGCAACATTTAAAATCAATGCATCATTATTTAATCGGTTTTAATGCTTGATAAATTAAATTTTCATTTGAATATATATATTTTTGTTTATTTTTACATAAATCTACCATATTGAATAATACTTAATGTAGTTTAATAATTAGTTTTATTCAAATGAATAAATAAGTGTTAATAGATTTATAAACGTGTTTTGATAAACTTTTTGTAATCACTAACATCCGAGATTTACTAATAGCTAATAAACGATTAATTTTAAAAAAAACAATTGTATCTACGTAACGATATTTTTTAATGTTATATATTATTTTACTATTCTCTTATTCCCTGACAAATCGTTAAATCGTTAATAGATCAATGAAAAAGCACGTTAAAATAGTTACTATATTTATTTCTATGAAATATACCATCAATTTTTTTTATTTTACTTTTTTTTTTTTTGAGATGTAGAAAAATGAACACAAAAAGTATGTAGAAAAAATTACGATTGTCTTATTACAATAATGTCTTAAGTTTAAGATTCAGATACCGACGAGTGATAATAAATTCCGTCACCGCCAACAACGATGGCACGAACAGACAATGCGGTGCTGTGATGGTACAAAAATACTTTATTTACTTATGTTTTACAACTATATTAATAATACATTTCGGTTATTACTAAAATATTAATAAAATCAGTGTCCATGCAGTTTAAAGTCGACACAATTTATTTTTATAATTGGTCGATACCGGATATAAACCGTACCAGTCAAGGAATTTTGGACGGTAAAATAGTGTGTGAATAAGATTGTACCTACGACGTTTATTTGTTTATGCGTCTATACTTGTACACACAGTCAGCACGTAATATTTTGTTGTCCTGTACATTTTATTTTATTTATTTTTACTTATCACGTACCACTATACTGTGTCACCATATATGATGTATTGAGGCTGGTTGCGAATTACCCGCGGATTAGTTTAAAACACTATTTATTGAATCATATGTTTTACTTTTACTTTGTGTTGTAAAAATGTACATTTACATAATATAGTATTTTAGGTCGAACGTCGATTGTAAATTATAAAAAAAATATTTTTTGGATTTTTAAATACCATATAATAAAACCATAAGGTTTCGATAGTTTTCAACCACAATAATGGTTCACAATTCTCATAACCGCGAATATAGAATACCTATTTTTTTCCAATTTAAACATTTACAAAATTAAAATTTTATTTCGTTCAATGGGAGATTGAATATTTTTATATTAAAAACATCACCGCGCGCGTTGTCGCGTTAACAGATAAAAAAAAATGATATGTACGTTTAGCAAACCGTTTTCTATACAACACACTGATACAACTAATATTTTAGCTAATATTTAAGTAGAAATCAACTTATTTTTCCTGGAATAAAACAGCGTATTATCTATACTACTTTAATGATTACGATATTCTTATAATTCTTGAGAATTGAGTACGTAATATTTTAGAGGTATTGCATAAGATTTATATAATAATTTTCATGACACAATTATAAACTGTATATAAAGTAGTCCTTATTTATTATTAAGACGCATTAGATAAATATGCAAATTGCATTGTTATTAAACCTATTTTATAAAAAAAAAAAAAAAAAAATCCGTCTTCACACATACAAGTAACTAATATTATATGTACATCACGTGTAACTATAAAACATATAACATTTTATATGTTTATATAAATAATATTTGCGTGATTTGTACAAGTCGCGAGTCTTTTAGATACACCGTTTATTTATTTATATACCTCCACTATAGTTTGGACGTGTACGACTCCACTTCCCAAAATCAATTATTGTTTACATTTTGTCCGTCTAATATACATATAATATACGCACAAATTTTCGTATATATTTTATTGTTTTCGTTTAAACACATTCAAAAATTTCCGTTACCATTCAAACCCGTCGTTTTTATTATTATTATTATTATTTTTTTTTTTTATAAACACGATACTTAATATTATGCACTCGAACTTATTGTTGGTCATAAAACGATATCCTTTTTTCTGCTTACTCGGAATAAACCTTATTCATTTTCTTTCAAAACGACCCTCTTAGTAGAAATAATGCATTTATAGCCTGTAAAGAAGTCACCAATCATGAACATTTAGAACCATAGAAAAACTCCACAAACTAAATATTCAATTTTTATTTTAATGTTTCATAAGCATAAACATTAAATTACCTACATATTTTACAAAATTAATTTTTGCTTATAATATTTATTCGATACATAACTATGACATTTTCATTTGTTTTTTTAAATTTACTTAAATATAACATAATTTTTTTTTCAACTTAATATAATAATTATATAAATAATATATATATTATACTATATTATAATTATTATAGTTTAGATTTTTTAGCTTATGAAAAGTTTACGAAAACCTTAAAAACTATTTTCACTTCTCTAATGAATATTAAAAAAATATTATTTTGATACAAATGCCTATAGCAGTGGTTCTCAAACTTTTTTGTCCGCAAAACCCTTATGCTTTCATAAAAATTTACTGAGCCCCGAAAATCAGAAATTTATATTCAAGACAACAATAATTATTAATATTTCATATTAAGAAAAACACAGTTCAAAATTTCATTTTTTTTTTTAAAGTTCAGATATTTCATTTACTGTGAAAACTTTGGTCATTTTACGTTGTATTAACGTTGTATTATTAAATTTACTTAATTTAATTTTGTGAAAATACCAGCCAAGTTATGAAGTCATAATAACCAAATTTTATCAGAAGTCTTACTTGTAAATAAAACGTATAACTCGTTGCGCAATTCAGGTAATCATACCAGTGTTTTTCCTCAATAACTAAGATATATAATAATATTTAAATTTAGATAATTAATATATGCCCACGGACGCTCTAGACTTCTTCCGCAGAGCCTTAGGGTTCCGCGGAGCACAGTTTGAGAACTGCTGGCCTATAGCTTTCTCGCTCTAAATATAATGAAAAATAGTGCTCGTACAATTTTTGAACGTTACAATAATTACTATTTTTACTCGAAATTGATCGTTGATTTATTCGAATACACTAAAGAAATATTAACTTAACTACTTTTTACCATAACTATTAAAGTGACTTATCCATTTGGAATGTAAACAAAATGTTAATAGGTGCATAATTTTGCACTGCACTGTTTGGTTATACAATACTAATTATTGTTTTGATTATTATTTGTCCAAAAATTTGAAAATTTATTTATTTATGAAAATTAATATGATTAAGTGTACTATCGGTATGAAATATCACAATCATAATATTATTATTATGTATTGTACAAGACAATTTTTGTCTAGACTATTCCATAAGATATCAGACGAATTGCATACTAATGAAGTATGCAGAATGTATGTTATATTTATAGGGACAAAATTGTATTACAGTTTACACTAGAACTTTGCTATTTGCTATTTATCTTTGTTTAATTCATTACAATACGTGTCAGGTTAATATTTTTTATTCAATGCCAAAGTTTTTATATTACGTGTGAATTTTTTTCAACAACGGAAACGTGAATGCGTTCACATAAGCGTGCGCCCGCGCGTGTACGCACACACACACACACACACACACACACACACACACACACACACACACATATACACGCATACACGTACACAAATACATGAAAACAACGCATGCACGCACTTACACATCGTACGCACAAATATATTTCCTTGTCGGACATCGCACTTTTTTTTTATTTATTTTTTTAATATTCAATTCTCACGTTTTTTCCTTTTCGCTGAAGTAAATGTTTTTGTCGATAAGCAGTATTAGGCCACCTTTTGTGCATGAACGGAATAAAATTTAAAAAAAAAAAAACCTGAAGACATATTACTAAATTATGCGTTATGTGCGAAATTGTACAAAAAAAAATGTTTGGCAAACAATTTAACGTAATTTAAATAATAAACATTATAATAACCGGAACTGCACTTACGTCGTGTGTATATATTTTACTTAAATTATAATAAGAATTATGTTAATTCTCAACAGCGTTTAGTGTACGAACAAAATACCGGATGAAGTGAGGGACGATATGTGTAAAGATCAAGACAACTGCGCAAAAGATCCGCAAGTAAAATCGAAAGGGCGTTGGAAAGAAAAGAAATGAAGAAATTATTAGGATACTACCTACCTATATTATAATAACATAGTAGAATACCTGGAGTAAGATAACGACTCGATATGTTTTGCTATTGAGCTGTTCGATAAAGGGGAACTCCCCGTATCTACAGGGCCAGTTCGAATGGAATGCATTGTACATAGGTATATACATTTATTCGTACATGGAAACAAATTGTAAGGATAATAAAAATACTGGTTTTTAAAATCTCGTGTGACATAATTTGGTGTAAAACGAGTTGTTATTCGAATGTGGTCAGTTCTTATTACCTATACCCATTTATAAATACAGACCTATATGAGTATTAAGTTTAAGTATTATATAAGTAATATTTTATTAAAATCAGTGTACCTATGTATAATATATATTGATATAAGTATTATAAAATGTATAACATTATACACTATATTAAAAACGCTGATTTGAAACTGAATTTGTTCTAATTAATATTCTGATTGCGTCGTACATGAAATTATTATATTTATTCGTAATTGAGAATCTTGCTTAGATTTTCGAGACAATTGATTGAATCAGCTACCAAATACTTTTAATGAATTACTGGCATTCAGACACAGATAAATAATATAATATTTTTTAGAGACGTGGTATTACGCATCATGCCATATTATCAACCCAGTACATGACACACAACGAAGTTCAAAATCTAATCGCATCCATGCAATATGACTCACGCAATTTCTGATGAATTATCTCACGTGTAATACGTACATGGTCGGCAGGTATATAAAAATATGAATTTGTCGAAAAATCATTGAACAAATTGACCATAAAATATGTGCATATTACATAGGTATATAAATGAAACAGAACCCAGTACAGATATTACAAATTAGCTATTCGACGTTACTATTAAAACAGCGGACGAACAGGACTCGAGTATAATATTACCAAGTCCTCGCAATCACTGTTAAACAATATAGGAGAATATTTAAAAAAAAAATTCGTCTTATTAATAAATCCGACCAACAACAGTACCAATTTTCACTCGTAAGTACCCCGTACCATTGATCACTCCAATAATCGAGTGTCTACGCGTCTGTTACGCGTTAATGCAATTCAACTGTAATCGGTTGTACACTGACCATGTCTTAATATGCATATATATATAATATCATCGCGATAAATAGCGAAACGAAACGTGCGGTTTGTCGCGAACGATAAAACACAATGAAATAATATCTTCGACGGCGACAACCCAAGCACGCGGTACACATAATACATGTAACAATACATCGCATACACATTGTTCGTCGGGAACGCGTGTACATTATCAGTGAATATAATGTTTCAAACCGCTGGGCAGCCGTATAGTGATGAATGCACGTGGTTATCTTAGGCGTAACTTAAATTTCTAAAAATCCGGTCCAAGATACGTTTAAAAAAAAAAAAAACAAAAACTACTTCTTGTTACGCGAAAAACGTGTGGAGACGTAGTGGGTAGGTTATTTTTTGCGTAACGTGACGAGTGTCGAAAGGATCCGTTTCGCAATTTAATAGAAAACGACCGCGGACGGGCTCTGGCTTATCCAAAGTCTCTCCGCGCTTACGTCTGTTTTACAACACAATTGTCATATAACTGTTGTTATTGTTATGCGTGTATTGACTTGTGTTGCGCTTGATTCGATTTGTGCAGGAACGCGTTCCACGAGCTGTACGCCATACTGGAGAGTCAGAGTTTCGACTCGAGACATCACGTGCAGCTACAGCAGCTATGGTTCAAAGCGCACTACCTGGAAGCCGAGAAGATCCGCGGCCGTTCGCTGGGCGCCGTGGACAAGTACCGGCTGCGCAAGAAGTACCCGTTACCCAAGACCATCTGGGACGGCGAGGAGACCGTGTACTGTTTCAAGGAGAAGTCTAGGAATGCCCTCAAGGACTGTTACCTGAAGAACAGATACCCAACGCCGGACGAGAAACGCGACTTGGCCCGGCGGACGGGCTTGACGCTCACGCAGGTCAGCAACTGGTTCAAGAACCGACGGCAACGCGACCGGACGCCCCAGCAACACAGGTTAGACGATCGGTTTTTTTAAAAAATTTTATTGCCACTCGAAACTCTTGCACCCGGTTAAGGTCATCGCGCGCCGGCTACGAGTCGGTAACGTTATTACCGGAATTTGTTTTCACGCGCGTTTCTACAAATCCGATTAGAAAATCGGAAAAGAATCGTCCGATCGATAAACCGTTTATCCTATCATGTTTGTCCGTAAACCGAACGTATCCAACACTGCAAACGTGTAATATCTAATCGACTGCAATCAGATAAATGTTTTTTTTTTTTTTATCGTAAATAGGATTCATATTGAACAACAAAAATTACGCACTGTTGTGTAGTATTTCTTACCTTTACCTTACATTTTTTTCTACTGTTAAATAAAACATCGATTTTTACGTTGTAAACAATATCAGCAATTATAGAAACTTTAGTATTATACCATATACTTATTTCACCTTACTACAACAATGTGCGGCAACTAAACATCCTAATATAAAAAAAAATACGAATTTGTCAACTTGTAAAAAACATTATACCTATATTTATCTACATGTAATTTTTGGTTTTTTTTTAAATTTTTATTATTATTTTTTTTTTCCATGAATCACGGAATAATGGTAAAACGAGTGTCTGCGACGAATTGTCTCGTCAGTAGTTTTTATTATTATCAAAACTATTATGAAAACATCCAAATAAAACGTTTTCTGATAACAAAAATAAGTTATCGTAGAGGAAATAAAAATATAAATAGATAGTTGCAGAAAATACGAATAATATTATTTCTTTATATCAAGGTTATACGAATGAATGTTTTTCAAAGTGTCTATACGGACATCCATCAATAGAACCAACTCGATATTTTGTTCCTTATTTTGTTTACACAAATTCTTCTCTTTTCCCAGTACACATACAACGATAAAGTAATATTTCTCATAGTAAAATTAACCTTCTATTCTAGCATTCGATTAACTATTAAATTGAATTCGTTTAAGTAGTATTACATGATTTTTAAGTGATCGTATAATATTTTATTTTTACTACTTATTTCAAAAGGAATTCTGATATTTATAGCTAACCGAAAATCCCTACGATATTTTATAACTTATTCGTTTTACCCTAAATCGCTGTATTTCAAAAACATTGACAAAACCGATTAGTTAACTTGTCAATTGTATAGCACATGTGTAGCATAAAAATTGACAAGGGCCAGTCCTAAATGGGATATCATAAAACCAGACTTTTTCCAAAATTCCTTCTGAAAGAGTCTCATTAATTGATGCCATGCACAAAACCAGGCCTAGTTTTAAAATGTCTGGCAAATGAAATATGTTTTCGTAGTATATTTTAAAACCGTGTGTTTTTTCGTTATTGTGTGTGTATGTACCGAAATCGAGAAAAATAAAAAATAAAAGAGAAACTCTAAAAACATAATTAAATTCAAACATTATAAATTACAATAAAAGGTTTAAATATAATAATACTCCGTTTGGTCGAATTGATTATATCGCATTTTACGTATTGTTACGTAATATTTATCTAACGCAAAAAGACTAGCAACGTGGTAATACGTGTACCGATCGGAGACGTGTATAATTTCGGTGGTCGAAGGGCTCAGATAGATTTTTAAGTGCCGATATTATATTGTGTACGCGCACTGCACAATAATGAACAGAAAACAAAAATAACAACAACAATCCGTGGAAACGTAAACACGACGGAAAAGAAATGAAATAAAAATCTTCGAAAATATTATCGTCGTCGTCGTCGGTGGTGGTAGCGGCGGTATAAACAGTTCCATAAAGAAAATCACGCCGTCATGTTTGCCATTAAACTCGTGCGAGTGAGGAAGAGAGAGGTGGGTGAACGACGGTGGCGAGTCTGACGGCGGTCAAGTTCGGTAGTGGTATACGGGCTACCGGTACCAAATTTACGATGTTGTGTGTACATTTGAGCATATGTGTGTGTGTGTAATGCACTCGGTGTCCAAAAATTAACGAGAGAGGTGACCGTGAGAGGGAGAGAGTGAGATAGAAAAGAGAATGAGAGAGAAAGAAAACTGTGAGAGATGAGAGAAAGAGAGACAAGGAGAGAAATATAAAAGTACCATACACACCGCGTCCCTTTCGGCGGAACACGTGTTTGCTAATCACACATTCTTGTATTTCGGCGTCCGTGACAAATTACCCTGCTCCAGCCTCATCCCCCGTCGTCACCACCGTCACCGCCACCGCCACCACCACCGCTACCTCCGCCACCACCGCCTGCGCATCGCGCAACGCCGCTGCATACGTGGTGACCCCGTACGGGTCTTCTAATCACGTTAGTTACCGGATTTGCCGCGTTCAAACATCTCGTCGATCCCCCGCGCGCCCCGAACCCCACTGCAGCAGTCCGACCGGGCGCGCGCGTACCTGCGTCCGTCACAAAGACCCGGCAGACGCACGTCGCGATAATAACACGTATTGCGTTCATCGCCACCGCCTCTCCGCCCCTCGACGTTTATTACGTGTTATTGTTGTTGCACCTACCGACGACATGTCGTGTATACTGTACGGGGCTCCGTGGCCGTCGAGCGACGCGTCGGGACGGGACTAAAACACGCGGCGACGGTACGCGGCCGCGGATCCCGACCCTTCGGCCGCCCCGGGGGACACGCCCATCCGGACGGAGGATTAACGGCGACGCGATTCGACGCGCGCGCCGCGTAATTGAAAAGCTCCTCTCGTCCTCGCCGCCCGCGGGGCCCGCTTGATTCGCTCCGGGTGCAGGTGCGCACGCGTTCGCCTGCTGCTGCCGCGGAACAGGACCTGCGCGTGTTGTGCTCGCGACGCACTCGTTCGGATCGTCCTTATCGCTATCGTTCGTTCGCGTCCATCGCTAGCGCGCGGCACCACCCGGAACCGTACATTTCACTCAATACATTATATCGTGTTTACGAAATGGGATCGCATTACGATAAAATAATTGTCTCATAAATAACCAACCATACCGCGTCCGTTTAGCGGAATACTGATCCGTAATACCACTTCGATTCGTGCTACTCGTATGAATATCGTAGGCACACTGGATGCCCGTACGGTTATCGTTCTACACCATTCGTTTAATGGTCGAAACCACGGGATTCAATATCGTTTTATTGTTTCGATTTAAACGTACAGTGTTTGCTGCACGTCTCCTAAAATCCCTGGACACGCATATCGTTCGGTTCGAAACGCGTATCTCGATGAGGGTCCACGAAAACGAGAGGGACGTGCTCGATCCCTGCGCGTATCGTACCAATTACAACCGACAAGCGTGTTTTCAGTCCGCACCGCGACGGCCAGTGACTGCGGAGTTTACCATCCGACTACACGAACCGAATGGTGTTGAAAACCCACGACTGTCCATTCATCACTCTCCCCCTCCCCCCCGAAACTCATAATCGGATTCCGACTGTGTTCCCCGCACGTTCCTTGTACATGTACAATTATACGGTATAGTTATTCACACCAGACACGGTCGCAATTCGAACGCGTAACACGTTTTATACGTAACAGATTTACTGACTTATCGGTGGTTAGACGAGATCTGTCGACCGCTTGGTGAACAAATGTTACACCGATTTACTAGTCGGATAGTCGATTACGGCCGTAAACGATTCTCGATTGCTATATGTTTCATTTGATTGCCTACCCCACACCGCGAAATCAAAAATTATTTTTTTAATATGAACTAATCAATATGGATCGAGGGTTGGGGGCGGCCCAGAACAATGTTGCTGAGTGCAATCCAAGGAAACAAATTTTAAGGGATTTCTAAGCCAGCCCCGGGACATTTTAAAATTGAAATATCCTAGTAAAAGAAAAAAAAAATTAGTTCTTTCAAAAACGGACCATCGATATGATACGGAAACCTGTTATGGAAATAAAAGTTTGTTTTTGCCGCCGTTACGAATCACATAGAGAATATTGTACCGAATAATGGAGTTTTTTCTGATCACCCGCACTTCCGTCTTGTACGGTTTTCGTATCATTGTTTAATATAACATTGACACGTTATACATACAAGCGTAGTATTAACACGTCATAATACACTATCGCAATCGACGTGACGCGCCGCAGTCACCGTTGTTTTTAAGTTCCATAAACGTTTCCGCGAAAATCGTTTTTACGCAGTTTTTCCGCCCGGGCAACGCACGTGCAACAATCGGGATACCACCGGTAGAGGTGCATAAAATGGTTTATATTATTATTATCATTATTATTGTATGCTCGAGAAACGTAAACAAATCGCTCTCGACTTCTCCCACTACGTGACAGGTAGACTAGTATAGTGCACGCGAACACATAACGTCATCGACGACTGCCGACGCGTACCTATATACGTATAATGTTATGTTAATTGCATTTTTAATCCGTTCGATTGTCCAGCACATGCTTTCTGCGTATGGGCATCATTGCCGTTCGTGTGTACACATCAGATCACCGAAGTGCCATAACTAGAGCCCGGATTTATACGCATTTGCATGTTTGTACTAAGTGTACAATGCACGTCCATGGAGGTCTAAAATGTCCACGATTCATATCACATCGAATTTAAACACCAAATTCTGTATTGCATATCTTGCATATTTGTTCATAAGTGCATATAACTGCATATCAATGCGTATTAACTGTTTTAATTTACAGTAAAATTTGTAATCGCCTCGAATAGACCACGAATAGACATGATAGGTGTCAAGTTTCAAAAATAATATTTTAAAATATTTGTATTTTTTTTAAAAGTTTTCTATTAGTTTTTTGAGAGTAGGTAACTTCAAATGATCAAAAATATTTTTTTTAGTTTTTTTTTTTTTTTATTTGTATTCTCGTTTCTAAGTTTCCTAAAAGTTTTAGATTGATTTAAATTATTTGAAATATAAAGCATTGGATAGTATTATTTTTTTTTTTTTTTTTGATAGAACATTTATAATTTTATTTGGTATAAGTGTGGTTTAAAAAACACATTTTATGAAGTGTAACATAATGCATATAATT